TTTTAGCCCGTGGGGCTATAAATAGAAGTGGTGGTCGGCCTTTGGCTGATAGCTGAGGAGAGCTGAGCACACTAGAGCCTTGGTGGCTTGTGTGGTAGTGCTTGGGAGCCCTCTAACTCACTTGAGCTTGATAGTGTTCATTCGATCGAGTGAGTGAGCGATTCTAGTGCGATTGAATCGTGAGGTTGCATCGAGTGGCACTAGGTGTTTGAGTTGCAAGCCAGTGGTGCTTGTTACTCTTGGAGGTTGCCACCTCCTAGATGGCTCGGTGGTGGTCTCCATCGAAGCCCGCAAAAAGCTTGTGCGGTGCTCCGGAGAAGAGCTTTGTGAGGGGCATTGTGCTCGCCCCGTGGGAGCCGCGAAGAGAAACTCTAGTAAAAGCGAGACGCAAAGGGCGACCAATGGTCTGGCCGAGTCAAGTGCTAGTGCTTGTGGTAAGCACTCCACGTGGGAGAGTGTGACTTGCGGGTCACCACTAGCAAGAGGACCGGCGGCAACCTTGGAGCTTGTCTCAACGAGGACGTAGCGTGTTGGCAAGCACGTGAACCTCGGGAGAAAATTTACTGTGTCAATATTGTTCTTCCGTTGGTTTGCAATCCCCTTACACAAGCTTGTAATTACTTTCATATACATTGTGCTTGTGTAGTTGCTCTTGTAAGTAGTTAGCTTGTGTAGCTCACTAGTTACCTTCTTGCTTGTGTAGCATAGAAGTAGCCCCCTTGCGTGGCTAATTTGGTTTGTGTAACCTTGTTAGTCACATTGCTTAGTTTGTGTAGCTAAGTATTTGCGCTCTCTAATTTGGCATTGGTTGCCTTATTATTGAGCATTGCCAGTGAGCTTAGGAGCTTTGTGCTTTTGCTTACTAGCATGTGTAGGAGCTCCCTCATTGATTGAAGTACTAGTGGCATAGATTTGTGTGACCTTACTTCTAGAATTAGTTAGGTGAGCTCTAGCTAGCCCAGCACCTTAGTTGCTTCATTAGGATCTTTACAAGGTGCTAGAGAACATAGATAGAGGGGTATAGTCTTGGCTAGACCGATAGTTTTAATTCCGCACTTTTTTCGGTTAGCCGGCACGATTAAGTTTTAGAAAGGACTATTCACCCCTCTAGTCCGCCATCTCGACCTTATAGGTGCACTGTTCTAATATAGTTATGTTTGAATGCTATGCATGTTTGTTCGGATGCTTGTGTGGTGCTTAATGATCTTGTCCAGTCAGTGAGTTTTACGTGGTGATCAAGAAGCAGTTCTTTGGAGGTTACGAATCAAAAGAAGAAGATTAGAGTTTTAAGGCAAGTATAGCATGGGATCATCCTTGTTGTCCTATTCACCTTAATATCATTTTAATCATATGCATGTGTCTACCTTGGCAACCGTAGTAATTTTCCTAGCTAATTGATATCCTGCATTCATTGACACCTTTGGGTTGTTGCATTGGGTAGCTTTGCTAGTGCTCAACCAAAACCATGATCTTGTAACTTGACTAATGGTATATGCAATAAACACTAAAAGATGCTTTTTAGCAACATGGAACAAGGGGGATAGAGCATTGGACTATTTTATGGTGCTTTAGATTCCTCTCTGAAAGGATCAAGATGACCAAGAGGGGGGTGAATTGGGCTAATTCTAAATTCTTTGCAATAATTAAGCCCTACACTTAGCCCACTTCACCCCTTGTACCTAGAATATGTTCTATTTTTCTACCACACAAAAGTTTTGTACCCTAGGTTCCAATCCTACTCTAGCATGGCAATTCTAGGAATGTAAAGATAAGAAATGAATTGCTCAAATATAAATGCTCAAAGTAAAGAGAGGGAAAGGAATGCGCCGATATTTTCCCGAGGTATCGGAGATTCGCCACTCCCCACTAGTCCTTGTTGGAGCACCCGCGCAAGGGTGTAGCTCCCCCTTGATCCGCGCAAAGATCAAGTGCTCTCTACGGGCTGATTCTTCGACACTCCGTCGCGGTGAATTGCCCACAACTGGTCACAACTTGAGTTGGGTCGTCCACAAGCTCCGCCGGATGATCACCAAGCTCCCAATCACCACCGAGCCATCTAGGTGATGGCGATCACCAAGAGTAACAAGCACAAACTCTTACTTGACCAAGACAAGCCTAATGAGAAGGATGGATGCACACTTGCTACTCTCTATGCACTAATGAGGTCCTTAATCTTGGATTCTTAAATCTCAATCACCTCACTAGTCTCTTGCTCTCCCTTGTACTCCAACGGTGTTTCTCAGTTGAACAAATGGGCAAGAGACCTCCCTTGGACGAGTGGAGTAAGTATTTATACCCCCTCATTCAAAACATAACGTTTGGAGGCTGAGTCAGCACTCTGCGGGTTGATCGGACACTCCAGTCAGAGTGACCGTTCGCTCGGTCAGTTATACCCGCCACTATGTCAGAAAGAGCCGTTAAGCTCTGATCGGACTCTGACCAGCGTCTGGTCAGCACTGACCGAACGCGTCTGGTCAAGAAAAACGTTCTCTAGAACCTTACTGATGTTGACCGGATGCTGGCACCCAGAGTTCGGTCACTTCACTGTTCAGCGTCCGGTCAGTTACCGGATTCTGACCAACATCCGGTCAGCACATACCGGACGCGTCCGGTCAGGAAAAACTCTCTCTGGAACCTCTCTGGAGTTGACCGGACGTAGGTACCCAGCGTCCGGTCAACCTTCACTCAGCGTCCGGTCAGTACTAGACGACTTCAGTTGATCAAATGAACTGACCGGACTCACTCTTCAGCGTCCGGTCACAACCAGACCAGCGTTCAGTCAGTCATTTAACCCTCCATTCACTTCCAACTCGAAATCTTATGTGAATGAAGTTTACTCTAATTGATCTTAGGGCTATTCCTGAGCTACCTAGTGCTAGGTTTGATAAGTGTGAACCACACCTAACCCACTAGACTTACCTAGGTCAAGCTACTAGTCCATACCCCCCTTAATAGTATGACCAAAGGAAAAACAAAGTCATAAACTACTCTAAGTGTCTCTCTAACACTAAACGACACTTAGAACTAGTCCGTCCTTAACTTTGTCGTCCATCCTTTGAAAACCAGAACGATTTCCATCGACAGGGGCATGGCAACCATGATTGCCCAATCAATTGCCATTACCATGACCTAACTCAAATTATCTCTGCAAAACACATGTTAGTCATAGTAATCTCGTGTTGTCATTAATCACCAAAACCTAACTAGGGGCCTAGATGGTTTCACTCTCCCTAAGGACTTATCTGTAAGCGAACATCTGGGACTTACAGTACAGCTGTGAGGGCTACATGGCTCTGGCTTTAGCTCAGTATGATGACCTTTTCTAGCTTGGTAGAGGTTACCTTTATAGCGTAAGAATGGCTTGTTGAATCGGGTATAGGACAGCCTCTACTCTTATGTGTATAGCCGTGATGGAATTGTACCATTCGATAGGGGGTTTCTATATCTGTTTGCCGAGTAAATCTAATGGCCCTAACTTGTTAGACGAACCTTTGAAAGGCTTCATAGTGAACCCTGCCGACCTTCCTTGGAAGTGGGTCAAGAGATTAGCTACGTCGAGCGAAAGGGTAAATCACGACTCACAGTAAAAGTGCACAACCTCTGTAGAGTGTAAAATTGGTATATCAGCCGTGCTCACGGTCACGAGCGGCCTTGGACCCTTACGGAATAGATGATGAACACTGATGATAAAGATGCTCACTAATGATTACTGTGGGGGTATGGCACCCGGTATCTATAAGACAAGACATGTGCCGCACCATCAGATGTGCCTCAGCCCACAAGATCAAGACTTGCGGCCCACGACACTGGTCGGCGTGCACCGCAAAGCTACAAGAAGATGTGATTTATTAGATATTGTATAATACTAAATATAATACTTTTCTTATAACCCTACCCCTCCAGAGCATATAAGGAGGGGCAGGGGTCCCCTAGTCGACATCTCCTAAATCTCAATGCAATACATCGAAACATAGGATGTAGGCATTACGTCATACTGATGGCCGAACCTGTCTAAATCTCGTGTCTTGGTGCTTGTATTACCATCTAGTTCGTATCACGCGCACCTCCACCGATTCAATCTACCTTCGCGGGATACCCCTCGAAGGACTGCCGACCAGATTTCGTCGATAATTACTGTTTATGCTATTCATTATTCATGGTTACCTGATCATGTGTTTATATGGGCTTGTGATAAATTTGTTGCTACTCAATTGCTAAAATCATGACTCATTAAAAGCTAATCGCAGTTGAACCAGTGTCAGCCTTTTGCGCCTCATGGACCCTATGATATATTTGTTGAGTACGACATATACTTACGCTTGCTTTACTTTTTAAATCTTTGGAAAAATCCCGGATGGGTACCAGATTGTGAGTTTGGAGAAATTAGGCTTGTGATCAACCAGTCAGTTGTCCATGTGGAATTGAAGTCTTCACCGAAAGATCGGAGTTGTCTTTCCGCTGTTTGCTATCTAAGGTTATATTCTTTATACTAAGTACATTATATATTGAGTATTGTCTATTGATATTACTCTTATTTGTAGCTATATGTTAGATTTGACTTTCTAGACTTATATATAGTGTGTATTTGATTTTGTTCTTAAAACCGGGTGCTACATAACTAGAGTCTTTGGTTCGTAATGGAATTTAGTGGGGAAGCTCTCCCCCCGTTTGATTTCAAAACAAAAAATATAATAATTTTAGCATAATATTCACTCCAAAATGGATTGATAATTTACAAATTGCTTAATCGCAGATGGTACATATTTTGTGATCCAATATATAGAGTATTTTATATATAAATACAAATTCACTGTGAGATGTTGATATCCACAACCGTATGGTCACTGGTCAGGCAACTAGCCTACATTATAGTATGTATATACAAGCTACCAAGTGAATCTACCACCTAGATTTACATCATTTAATTATATAATTAATACCTAAGCGAAGCTAATTTACAAAACTTCTGCTGAATTCACAGTCCCCAGGATACGCTGGTTTCAGTTCTCATTGCCAGGAAGCAGCGGCATGCTGCTCTCAGTCGGCGAACCAGGGACGAAGGGGACGAAGCCGCGGCCGCCAAACACGGGCCTCATGAAACCGTTGTCAAACTTGCGCCAGTAATAGTGGACCGACCGTGCCGGGCTCGCTAGGAGCAAACGGAGGCTTGTCGGGCGGGGTAGGCTTGTGCCATTCTCAAGATCCGGGAGACCAGGGCTGTTTGCGGCTAGCTCCTCAAAGAAAGACTTCGGGCTGGATGGTTCGGAAAGGGCGCTTGCTTCCCTGGATAGGTGCCTTGGTGGGATCAAGAGCCTGATCAGTGGCTTTGTCAGTAGCCCAAAGATCTGCATGAACAGAGGATAATTGTTCGAGTCAGACCCATGTTGTAGCTCCTATCACAAGTCATGTTCTTATGTTTGGTACTAGTCTGCAATACAAGCTTGAAAATCAATCTAGCTTGTTATATTGTGTGTAATCTGTAGGTGTTGCAGTTTGACAAAGAACTTACAATTGTGCTGAGAAAAACAACACTGATTGTGCTTGTGATCATGATAGCATTGCTAGGTTGCTGAGTATGGCCTGATCTTGTGAACTGCAGATTAGAAGACCAGTGGTTAGATCAAAAGCATTAACGACAGAGAATTGAACACTAAACACTCCAGACCTTTTGAGGCATATACAGGCAAGAAAAGGAAATAAAACCAATCCACTAGTGAACAATTTAATTTACAAACCGAACACCTAGAAACCAGCTTGTGTCTTGTCATAAATGCGCAGATGGCATACGAATAAATTGGGACAAAGTGTGAATATTTTTAAGGAATTATCCTTCAATAGAACAAAGAGATGTGTCAATTTTATGGACACAACAAGAGTTCAAGATATGCTAGTATAATATGTTTTTGGTTCTAGGAAAATGATTATGCAAACAGAATTATTTTGCTGATGTAGATCAAAATACCATTTACTAAATAGTAACTATATTAAGTTGGTTCTCAGAGATCATACTTGTAACATAAACATATGCTGTCAATGTCAGTTTTACAGGAGACAAGCTTGACTGTCTGACTAATTAGAAAAAGTTGTTAGTTTCTGTAAAGTAACCAAGTGGTGCGCACGCGTGTGTGTTTCGGGGTCGAGGTGCTAAGAGTATTTTCCACTCTTTTCCCTCTCCCTTCTATATATTATCCTCTCTTAATGAAATAATGCGCAGTTCTTCTGCATGTTCTAGAAATAAAAAGTTGTGACAGAAAAACTAGAATGTTAATAACATGCCAAGCTGTAGCCTTGATCTGTGCCCATAAACTCTGCTACTTCCAAGAGGGAGCAACTCAACTATGGTAGGAACTAAAATATACGTGAATGTTACACAAACACATAAATTCCTCAATTTACTAAAAACCAAATTTAACATTGTTTCTTTGAAACACCAGTTTGAGGACCAGGTAACTCACTGATTAGGTTTTAAATCTATGATTTAACATCTAAGAAGACTTGCAAGGTTTAATTTTGCAACTTCTATATAATATAAGATAAAGAAATGAAGACTGTTGATGTTAGAGAAGTTTGACTTAGGACAACAAAAATGACCTACATTTTGGAATGGATGGAGGACAGAAAAGCAGTAAAGCATTTCCAGGCCAAAGCTCAAATCAGATGGACCAAACACAAGATTTACCTTATTGTAAGCCAATGCAATGGACACAGCACCTCTCATGAGACCCGCCCACCAAACAATAACCTGAATGACCAATATCATGTAAGGAATGTAACAACTGTTTCAAGAGGGCATAAGCAGTTTAGATGTTGGTAAGTTTAAGACTCACTTGCTGCCTGAAAGAGATCTTTCCATTTGGAGTTTTTTTGGTCAAATTTGATAGAAAGGATAGTGGGAAAACGAAAGCAGCTCTTGAAACCAGCACCAAGGCTAAAATGGTGGAGCTCAAAGCAATAGACTTTATTGGGCTGCACATGATAAAAAAATACAGATTCAGAAAGAAAGAAAAAAACTTCTACTAGGGCAATCAAGACAGAGAAAGAGGGAGAGAGCATGCCTATAAGTTTGACTGACGATCTTCCACTTCTCTATATCCAATGCATCCATACCAACATAGAGAAACAGAAAAGTCTCGGCGATAAATGACAATGTTGCAAAGGCATGCCTGTGGTCCATCCAATGGTATATTAGTATAAGCATTACCATAGAATACATGATCAAAGGCAAATGTTCACACAGAAGCTATGAAGCTACTTACTTGGTTGTGACCCTGGAACTTTCTGTTACATTGTGCCAGGTATAGTGTGACATTACGATGCCGCAGAAGAACACTGTGAGAATGCCACTCAAATCAAGCAACTACCATAAAAAGGCAACCAGTCAATAACAATTTACAGCTGTAATTGCTTTTCTGAAATACACAATATCTACAGAGGTTAAAAGTACAGGATGCTCACTTCGGCTAGCATGTAAGATAAATAAGCCATTAGCATCATAATGGAGACTTCACGATTGGTTGAGTGCCTTGAGTGCATGTCAAATTAGAGGAATATAAGTTGTGGAAATGTCATAAATTTCAATTAGACAAATCATGTTGTGTCAAGTACAAACCTGCCAAAGTACAACTTCTTAATGATATAAGCACTAAGAAGTCCAGACTGCAGCCAAAACACATGTCAGTAAAGAATAAACTTAGGCAAAGCTAGAGGCGGAAGCAGCATAAAAAAAAAACTCGACCGGGGGGGGGGGGGGGGGGGGGTTGTTAAGACTGCCCCCGCAGCATTTCAAAATAAGAAGAAGGACCTTCTCACCCGGCCGAGAAAACCCCTGCCCCCACCCTTACATGGTGGCTTTCCGTCGCCCAAGTGAGAATTGGGCCGGTGCCCCCCCACTGCTTTGGTTATGGAGACGGACGAGGGGATTTTTTTAACCTCAGCCTAAAATTCGCTCCCACGGGGAGTCGAACTCAGGACCTGAGGGTGCCGCAGGAAGCGCTTGACCAACTGGCCTAGCGTCCGTTGGCTGGAAGCAGCATATAACTTACAGCTACTCCAAGAATGGTGCTGGCGCCGAACAGATAAAGGAAACTGCCAATAAAGTCCAGTAATTTGGCACCACTGATATTTCCAAGATCAAAGTTCTGGATTGCATTGAACAACACAACAGAAGTTGCATCATTGACAACACCTTCACCAAACACGAGGCTGTACAAGAAGGGTGTCTCATCTTGGCTTAACACCTGCAAGGTGCAAACCGAGTCTGTGGCCGAGAATATTGCCCCAAGTGCTGAAATTCAAGATATACAAGAATCAGAGAGAAATAACTGCATATGGGCAATGGAAGTGCTTATACTTTGGGTAATGATCTTACCGAGATAGTCTCCAAGCTCAAGTGCGCCAATATTAAGCCTTGATACTAGTCCTAGAGCGCCTGTGAGATCAAATGTGAGTTAAGGCAGGCAGAAACCCAGAAACTGACAATCATGGTAAAAATGAAATTTGGGAGCAAACCTACCAAGGGATATCACAGTAAAAGAGATCAAGGTGCCAACTGCACCAAACAGTGTAATAGTAATGAAGTTTCGAAAGAACTGTTTCTTCTTCACTTGGAACCTGGCTTACACGGGAAAAAACGGAGAATTGTGAGTGAGTTATACATATAGGTTCTTAGTGCTAAATATTCAGTAAATTATACATGGCACATATCATCTACACTCTTAATGCAAAAACTCAGTGAATAATTGCAGATTTATATTTAATAGCACACCATAGTTGCTTTGCTACTGAAGTGTTTAGAAGAGGGAATGTTTTTTGGATTTTAGCTCAGAAAGCTCCAAAGAGAGAACTTATCGAAAGAGGTCCTAAAACAGTAACCAAATACATGTAATGCTCCTGTGTTAAGTTTTTTTTAAACATAAACGGCTGGAGCTCCGCCTTTCAATTAAGGATACTCCCGTGTTAATTAGAAGGAAAAGAAAGGGGGGAAATTCCAAGCACAGGGATGGCAGCAACAGCTCTCTTGAACTAAAAATCTTATTAAATTAAAGTCATAGCAAATTTCTCAGTCACCAATGTGTCGCCCAGCTCAACTTCTTAACTGTCAGAATATTCTTTATTTGTCCTTTATGTAGGAAAAGCTGATAAATTTGTGACAGCAATCCTTTATGTAGGAAAAACTGATAAATTGTAACAACGAATAAAATAATGGCCTCCATAACGCTAGAACGTAGCATCAATTGCACGAATTCCATACCCTGCATTAAATATGATGGGCGGCAGCAGGTAAATAAAGAAGAGGTCCTCGCTGAACTGGAGCACGCGCGAGTGCTTCCCGCTGGACGCCAACAGGATCACCGCTCCAGTTCCCAGCCCCTGCAAAGCCACACGCATCAAACAGGCCACAATTACCTTCAATTCTCAATAGACAACATTGCAATACCAAGATCCCGAGTACAGAAAAAAAAAAGCATGAACTCAGGGCAAAAGCGAAAAAAAAGGGGGCGCGGTTGGACTTACGATGAAGAGCGCGGTGATGGACTCGTTCATCCAGCGGTTCTCCTCGAGGAGGTGGCCGACAATGATGCAGACGCACATGAGCGCCACGAACAGCCCCACCGCCGCGATGGAGGCGTAGTCCGCCGGCGGGTCGCCCAGCGCCATCGCAGCCCCCAGCCCCATCGTCCTACCTCTCTCGGCCTGCTCACAGCCCCACTAATCACCCCCAACCCTAGTAGCTTTACCACCGCCGCCGCTAAACACTCGATTCCCCCTCGGCTTGCCTTCCAAGCAAGGCCGCCGCCCGCACGCAACCCGCTAGGCGGAAACAAAAGGTCCCACCCAGCCCGGATTGTGTACGAGGAGAGAAAGGGCAATGGATCTGCTATGCCGCCGGAATTGACGAAATCCGGCGCCTCTACGCGTGCCCGTGGTCAGGACTCTGGAGTCTGCAAGCGGGGGTGGACTGTGTGTGGAGGGGAAATCAGCGGCAATGACGGAAGACGGATCCGGATGCGGAGATCCCGGCGCGGGCGGCGGGTATCGGAGGGAACCTCCGCGAGGCGGTTCTCCTCCGATTCGGGGACGGGGAGGGTTTATCGGCGGTACTGGGGGCGGGTGGCGCCGACTGAGGCGGTTTTCCAGACAGAACAGTAGTAGTCGTAGGCGAGGAGGAGATACGATTCGAACGGGATTTCTGCGGAAATTAATAAACAAACAAAATATCCTATAGTTTTCCTTTTTCGGATTCCAGAAGTGACGGGGGAGGTGACGACCGGACGGGTTGGGGTTGGTGGCCACGTGCCGGTCGCACGGGGGGGCGGTTGCGGCTGCTACCGCGCGGCACGGGGGGAGTGGCCAAGTGGGGAACACGTGGGGGCCAGGCAGCGCTACGAGTTGGGCCCACCGGGCAGTAGGTCGCTCTCGGACGCTCGGTTAACCTGGGGCCCACGCGGGCCACTGGGTACGCGCGGCCCTACGCGTCATTGGCTGGCCCGGGCGGCGCGTTCCGCGGCGGGGGGACCCAGGTGGCGGTGGGCCGTTCGTGCGTCCGAAGCTCTGGGAAATATTCCCTCGCCGGCGGCGGTGGCCGGAGACGGAAGGGGCCTCGGCGCCGGTGGAGGCTGCGCCAATTTTTGCCCGGCCGGATCGCAGGTGAGAGGCTCTGGATTCCGCGGAACTGTTTAACTTTCTCCCCAATTTGGCCATTTTCTTATCCCCGCGCGGTCTTTTATAAGTGGAGAAGCCAGCGCGAGGGATGGATGGGCGCATGGACACCCTGGTGTCCGATCCCGAGACATGGCGTCGATTATTGTGGTTGTGCTTGTCCCTGATGATGCGCTCAGCTCGCTTCTTTGGGAGGCTTGTGGATGTGGTGTAGTTTGATCTGGATTTGGGAGAGGGCAAACGGTACAGCGAAAGGTTGCTTGCACTGCCAGGAGGATCAAGGAACTTGCCTAGTGCCTAGGATCTGCGACTGGCTTATTAGTTATTTATTATAGGTGTTGAACATGATACTGAGGCTTCCTCTTAAATATTCATACATCTCTGTCTCGTCTGTCTGGCCCAGATGATTGGGTTTGTCTGGATTCTGGAGCTCTGGGCCTCTAAATTATCCTTTAAGTTTCCTTTGCTGCTGCTCCAAATTTCATCAGAAGAACCATTATTGGTGCAAAACTAGTTGAGTGCTGACTCTGTGGTTCGCACAATGTTCAGGCTAGGATTTGCTGTTCTAGTGTTTGGAGGTAGTGTTCTGTTCTGCTTAGTTTCTGAATATTCAGAATGTTGTAGCAGCACTTGAAACTTGGCATTTTTGCCTCAACTTTGACTCCTATATAGTCTATAGATTCAATTTGTTACTCAAAGTCATCAGAATTGACATTTGTCGAGATAAAGACAAGAATTGGCGTCAGTCACGGATGGCTTGTCAGTGAGGCCAACTGGTGTATAGTCAGCTACTCGGCTTATTCATGTGACAAACAAAAAGATTCCTGTGTGACTCCCACTATAATCCATCCCTGAACATTAGAATATCTTTCAGTGAGATACCACATTGGAACTTGAGTTCACCCTCGTTTCTTTTCTTTTGCCTTGCCATTGCAGCCTGTTTCATAGAAAACAATGTACATTTCAGTATAGTACTCCTTTCTTTTAGAAAAAAAAGTACTCTTTTACTGATTGGTTGGTTTCCTAGCTGCAGTTCCATGGATGGAGTTGCAATTTACAGAAGCAGGGAAGTCAGGCCATTACCAAGGTATGTGGGCAGCTTATTTTGTCATCTGATTCAGGAGGACTGCGAATGCAAGAGGTGGGATGGTGGATCATGATTAAATGGGTCTTTTACTGGAGTTGGTAATTTCTGAAGAGTCTGGATCCTAGGACATACATCACCTTCTTTTGTTTCTATGGGGCTGAAAAAATACTTGTCCTGCCAACATGTGGATAATTTAATGTATCTCTAAACAAGTAGGGACAATTTTGCGATCCCTATGCTCCAATTCACACAGACAAGTTGTAGCTGCATTAAATGCCTTTTTTTTTTTTCTGATCAAGCACAGTGGTTGATCATTTGTGTGGATTGCAATTACTTGTGAATCATGCATCATGGTTAGTCATTGTTCTGAATGGCTAAAATCTTAGTAATTTGTTAGTTTGCTTTTGCCATTTGGCAAACTATATCTGGGGAAATTAGTTTTGGATCTTTGTAGCAACAAACATGTCAAAAAAGCATATGAAGCTAGATTGCTAGAATGTAGTTGCATTTCCTATTTTATAATAATGAGACGGGTGTTTTTTGAACCCACAGCACAATGGATTACTGTCTGTCCTCTGTTACTTCTAATTTTATCCACTAGAACCTCTGAAGTCTGAACTGTGGTGTACAAAATATTATGTACTTTCGTAGATGAAGAAACGCAGAATTCATTTCAGAATGCTATATTTATGATACATTAGGATTTTCTTCTTCAAAAATTCCAAATTCAATGCAACCAGAAGCATTAGTAAGTCCAATTACAATTGCATTTCCATTTACCATATTCCATATTCCATATTCCTCACATCATTTTGCCCTTCCATGTCAAACCAAAAACAAAAGACGAAGGGCCTCCAATAGTTACAGCAGTCAAGAACTTTCACAAAAACCACAAACAACTTACAGAATCCTTTCGCCACTAAAACAAGTTAAAATCAGAACTGTCCAATCGGTATTTATGTAAGGCTATGTTAGGCTAGACATCCTTCTCCTGTGCTGATGTAGGGGTGCTCTTTGAACCGGCCTGGAGCCAAAGCTTTCCCTCTGACGTGGTGCTGATGCAGCTGTCGAGTCGATGCTGTTGTTACTCATGTTGATCTGATCAGACATGGCTGGCAAGCACTTCATCTTGGGCACACTGGATGAGAATGCCACTGACCTAGCCTTGGCTGCATTCTTGCAGCTTGAATAGCTGAATGACTGGCTCCCGTTCAGCTCAGCTGGATATCTGTTTACTGACTTTGTCAGCCTCGGCTTACTAACAAAATGGCTTCCCGCACTATGTCTTTGCCGGCTGCACACTGTTGAAGACATGAAGTGAGGAGCTGAACCATGAGATAGCCTGCTCTTTGCCTTCTCTGTTGCGTGTGGGCTCTCTGTGACATCAATGTGGCCTACCACTAGAGTGCTTCTTGGTGATCCCTTCTCATCACTAAGAGCCTGACAAACAGATGAAGTGAGCTTCTTCTTCTCTTCAAGTGAGATCTCTGCTCTCCTTATTTGTTCATTGAGATACTTTAACTCTTCCTCAGCATTGCATATTTCCTTGTCAAGCTCTGTGAGCCGCTTCTGCTTCAACATTTTCAGATCCTACATCAGAAATGAGCACCTTTAAATATAACAAAACTTTTGCCATGGTGGTAGCAATTGCTCGTTCCATTGTATACTTACTTCTGGAATTTCTCTATTTGATTCGATTGATCTGGCTCGTTTCGCAAAGTTCAGGGAACAGACCGTCTCACCAACATCGTCCTCAGAAAGGCTGATGTGCACCACCATTAGAACTTTCGAACCGTCACCTGTTATTTAGATATTCAACAGTTAAATATTAGATTATCTTGTTTCCAGTGGTTATGTTTTTTTTTAAAAACTTCAAATCATGCAAAAGATGTTGCATACCAAGCGAGTCACTGAGAATCTGGGTAAGCTTGCTGTTTCTGCACATGTTAAAAAAAGATATGAATATAGACGACAGCACTGATGAATGACTCCAATGTGATTGAAATGTTGGAGGTTTTTGACCGTAGCAAACCATTAGAAATTTATTTGGTAATTAAGATAACCGAATAATCAGCTGTTACCTGTAAGGAACATGACTCCTCTTTCTCCTAAGTGCAGCAATGACATCTCCAAGTGCTGATAGGGAGAGGTTTATGGCCCTGCCCTCATCCATTGTCAACCCAGATGCACCAGTCTTCAGCAACCGCTCGCTGCCACCAAGATCGATGAGCCAGAGCTTGCTGACTTCTTCAGTGGCTCCACGCCTCCTTATGGTAATCCTTGTCAAGCTACACATAGACAGAGCTAAGGCACATAAAATTGGGCACTGCTCAAATTAGCAAAACAGCAGCAATTGAAAGTTGGTAATGGGAACAGATTGTCAACCCACCAATGCGACCGGCTCGAGACATCATTGACATTTGTCCAAGATGTTGATCGGGCTCGCCGTCCTCTACAGTACCACTGGTTGGCTTTCTTCAGGTCTGGTATTGAGACATCCGTCAGCCCCTCAACTTCCACAGCACCACTTTTTGTTGCTAGTATGCTGAGATTACTGAAGTATACAAAGAAAATGGGCATACAAATTTCCATATTGATTAGTGGTGATCTTTCTTCATGATTTACTGATGAACTTTCTGTTGAAAAGAATTACAGGTGAACTGATAGTCTTACCATGCTGTGTTACATTCTGTTGACCTGAAGAGAGGCTGCCTTGGTGCCAACAAGTCCTTGAGACTCCCCAAGTAGACCTCAAGCATGCTTATGGAGAAAGAGTATGTGGATGAACTGTCTTCTGAAGCATGAGAAAACAGTTCTTGGATAGCTCGAGGCACAATACCTAGTTTACCGTCAGTTCCTTCCTGCAATCAGTTGTACCATCATTTATCAGAACTACCGCAGAATGCTGAGCGGAATACAGACTTGTCAT